CTGTGAAGTCTGAGCAATCAAAACAGATTTCTCCCAGCACTCTGAAAACAAAGCAGGCCACACTGAATCTCCCATGCGCAGATGAGAGCTCCCAGCCATTATTTTCTGTTTATTTAGCGTGCCTGTGGAATGGACCGTGACCGGTGATTTCCAGTCCATCCCGCTGTGCCTGCGTGGGCAGAGGCACCACAGCTCTCTCTCAGGGGTGAGAGGCAGCCAGGCTGCCTGCAAAGGCAATGCCAAACGCAGAGCTGGGACTATTGCTCAGGAGAGCTGGTGCTGCCCATGGCAAAAGAGCCAAGACTTCCATCCCACAGTGCTGAGTGGGACGTTGTTTCTTGTAACAATCCTTCCCCTGGATAAATGACTAGGAGGTGATGGAATTTGCAATGTAATCCTGCTTCTGGCTGTTGGAAACTTTTGAAGAAACTGCAGTGGTGATCAATGATGTGCAGGGTGACACACACCTTCTCTCTTTCTAAAATGAGAAGCCACTACTCTGGTGGCAGCAGATGTGAGATCTGCTTGGTTACAGAAGAGGGTGAGAGCTTGTTTGGACCAAAGTACAAATGAAATCAAGCATTTCAAAATGTAATTATGGCAGAGACAGTAAACTGCACCCAAAGGACAAATTCTGCACCAAAATTTCAAACCCTGCCTGTTTATGTGCATTCAGGAACAATTTTACACCAAACCAAATGTTTTTTTGTTTTGTTTTGTTGGTTTTTTTTTTTTATGATGGCTGAGTCAGAGGGCAGTGGGATTTTCTCTGTGGAGAGCTGCACAGCTTTTTCTTTGGAGAAGCAAGGCCTCACATGGCTGTCATTGAGTGGAAATCAGAAAAGGTTCATTATTAAAACTCATAAGAAGTGGGATTTCTTCTCCAGATGAGCCTGATTATGCTGAACAGTACAAAGAAGCTGTAGCAGAGCAGTGGGCTAATATCCAAATTTCCCCTTTTGTCTGTCACAGGGCTACATCAGGTAGGTCCCCACCTTCACAGAGTGAAATTAAAAGACGTGTTTCACCCTTCAGGGGTGTGGACTGAGCTTGATGAGTTGCAGTTTACAAAATCTGCTCTGTTTCTTTCAGATGTGTAACTAGGCTGACATCTCCAAGCCATCAAGAGTCCCAGACTGCTCTATGGGTCATGAGTAAGGTCCTTTGCCTTGGCTGTGTAGTCTAAGTTTCATATGACTCCACACACACTGCAATTTGAGAAATCTTAATATGCTCATTCCTTAAATAGGAATATCCACTAGAGAGTCTAATTCCCTAATAACTGATGACCCTCTCATCTGGATTATTTTCCTAAAACAAACTTTCAAATGCTCATTATTGTTTTTTCTCCTTCTACTGATGCTCTCAGCCCCACTCACAGGCCTGCAGGGTTACAAACCCTCTCTGATCATATGCTAATGAGTCATTAATACTGGCTCTCTGTTGATGTGAATAAATCCTCCCTTCTTAGTCAGCTTTTGTCCAAATAAAGAAGTCTATTCTGATAACAAAAATTTCAAAACCAGACAAGAATCAGTGAACTCTTCCTCAGCTCTTCTTCAGGGCTGCCTGGAGCAGGGCTCAGCTCACTACCTCAGCCTGGCTGGTCCTCTCTACCGCTGCTCCTTGTTTTATTTAAGCACTTTGAATCTAAGAGGATTTCAGTCAGTTTTTAACGTCCTTAGATGGCCAAGAACAAAAGGTCAACACTGTTACTCACTGTGTGGCTTTACTGAAGTGTGACTTTTCACTATAAACTCAGCACAAGGTCATTTTAAGATACTTTTTACACTTTTGTTAGCAAAGGGGAATTTCCCATTCACTTCTGGACAAGGTTAAATAGCTGACAACAGCTACAGGTTAAATATTAAGCTGTTGGTCCTTCCTTTCAAGAGAGAAATTGCAGCTGTCTTCAGAAACGCTTGAAAGTTCAGGCAACATCTTGGAACTAGTACAAGGAAAGGCGACTTCTAATTAGTACAAGGGAACTCTACGGATTTTGAGTCAGACTCGATTGTCTCGCACCTTCATACAATTTTGCAAGATTAATAAAGGCCATATGTTGGTATTTGTAAAACTCAGCAGATTTTTTTCAAGAGCAGACAGTGTTTGCTTGTTTTATACTCAGCAGGTCTGAAGGTACAATCAGATGAGATGGCTGAGCTGACTTCACAGCTTGCTATGTCTAAAAAATAATTCTCTCTCACCTTTTTTTTTTTTTATCTTAATTTCTATCACTTTTATGAGCTCAGCTGCCTCCTTGAAAGGTCAGATAGCCCCAGGTTAGCTCAGGGAAGTGCTGGGGATCTGTGCAGTAAGAGTAAGAAGGAGGATATTGGTGACAAAAAGGAGGAGAGGGAGAAGAACCAACTCTTTTAGCAGCCGTGGGCTGATGGATCAGTTCAGTCTATTTGATCTGACTGGACCCTTGAGATCCTACAATAGATTTGCAATAGCCCAAAGCCTCCACAATCCAAGCTTTTGGGCACAGATTTATTAAAATATTTAGGCTTGTGAGTTTTTCTTCTAGACTTGTAACTTCCTTTTTGATTTGCTTTACAAAGAGTTTAGTAACAGCTAGGATCTATACCTTATTGCGTTTGGATCTGTGGAATTATGATTGTGGTGATAACTTTGAAAATATGAACTGAGTTCAAGTCACTGGTTTGCTCACAGCTTGCAGTAATAGCTACTGCAGGGGGTAAAAAGCTGCCTTCATTTCAGACAGGGACTGTGTGCTTCCAGAGTGCATGATTTTGGCATTTTTTCCAAAATGTTGCTGAATTTGGTATTTGTACTCTAAAGTGCACCAGCTCGTTGCATTTGGCCACCATCCATTTCTCATTCATTTGGATGGCCAGGATGGGCTGGCAGCTCAGTTTTCCTTCCTGGTTTTCCTCACATGGTTTTCCAGGCTGCCTGAATTGTGACACATGATGTCTGAACTGCTAGACCCCTACCTGAATAAAAGCATATACCCTCATTTACTATCCAGCCATATTACCAGCCCAGGAATGTGGTGTGTGTTGGCTTAGCTCCTTGAGGATGTAGTTCAGAGCATAGGCAAGAGCAGCCCCATTTCTAAAGGTGGCCATGACCCATGTTCTACACGCTGTGTGGCTTGAATAAGTCAGGCAGAAACAGAAGCTAAAAGTTGGCAGTCTATAGCTGCACAGAAATAAGTATTTATTTTTAATTGCACCATTCATGAAGTTTCCTAATTCACAAAGGTTCAAAGTGAAACACATTACATTATTAAAGTTGTGTTTAAAAATTGCCTTGAAAAGGGCTGGAAAAGCTTAAGTGTCCTGGGATGATCAGGAGGCCATTCAAGAATGTGAAATACCCTCAGCTCACAGAAGTGAACTGTGTGAGTCCTTCTAATTCACTTTAGCTCAAACTAACAAAGATGCTTTCCACCTACTTAAATTTGCTCTGAGAGGGGAACTTCAAAGAAAGGAGATGCCCGGAAAATGGTCACTTAAAAGCTTTTCCTACCTGCCTCTCAGCTGCTAGCTGCTCCTGGCTGGCTGAGCAGTACCCAGCTGTGTGAAGTGGCCAGGACAACAGTGGGTCAGGCATTGCCCTGGAAGAAAGGTCCGTGTAAAGTTTGGATGGAGATGTGTTTCAGTGGTGCTGCAGGCTTTGTGCAGTGGGGGAGAAAACCCAACCCGCTATTGTAGTGTTTTATAAGCAGTATCTACTTCTTTTTTTTTTCTTTTGATATTAGGTACTTGGCTATTACTGTGAAGTTTCTATGAGGCTTCCCTTCTACTGTATTTTATAGATGCTAGTGTAAGTCTGGTTCACTGTGACAGATGACTGAGGATGCAGTCCTCTTGCCAAATGGTGAAACATGTCCTGTAACATTAGCTGGCCACATTTATCTGGGTCTGGGGTTAGTGATCGGTGCTATGGGACTTCTTTTTTTATAAGTAATACTCTAATTCATTTAATAATGCAAATGTGGTCCCAGCAGTACAGCTTTACTGCATAATGACTAATCTCTGTCACAGCAGGATGCTGAGAATGAGTTTCCTTGGGAAGCTGTGGGTATGCATAATGAACAGCTATCCCTAATAAAGTCTTTTTAATCAGGAGTGTTCCTCAGATCAACTGAGTTAAATGAGTTTGCACTTTGTACATACAGGGGTCGAAGTCTATGTCTTGCATAAAACACCACATCTACTGTGAAGTCAGTGAGCGTTTAAATACATTGACATCCTGGCCCTATGATCTAACTCCTATGCTCACATGTGTGACAGGAAAGCCCATGTCACTTTACACTTCCTCCAAAGAATGAATACAGAGTGTGTGATAAAGCTTTTTGTGTACATATTTCATTTTTCCCCAATGACCTATGAAAACAAGTCACACCCAAGGACTCTGTTGCATTTCAAAAAGTTAAAAAAAAAAAAAAAAGAGAGAAAGAAAAAAAGATGTTTCAAAGATGCAAGTTTCCAGTACATTTGAAGAAAGCAGGTGAGAAAGGAGGGAGATACAACTTTAGGAAAGCTTCATCTGGAATTCATACCTTATTAGATGCCAGGGAACCCAGTATTCCATCAGAGTGTGTCTCTGTAGATTGCACCTTGGCAGGGAGATGTCTCTGAAAGCAAGGAGGAATCCTGAGATCTGGTGCTCACAGGACTGCCTGGTTAATAGAAACAGCTCTGCTTCCAGTCTGGGATTCATACAAGTATGACCCCTAGAAAAATATGCCTTGGGAGTATGGGCCATTGCAGTTGTTCTTATGCATTAAAAATCACTTCAGCAACACATTTTGTGTTTGTGAGACTGTATTCCCTCATGGATTTACATTTGAATGTCACAGCATTACAATCATATGTGAGAATCAGTAAGTAATATGCCAAGTTTGCCCTTGATGGCCATCCTGAGTATCAAGGCCCATAACTTTCTATAAATACCTAAACAACAGCACTATACATAAAATATAGGTATAGGACAGATCTAAAAGACTGATATTTTATTCACAGGATCACCACCAAGGAAATTAATCTGTGCTTCTTAATATGACCATTGACTCTACAAGATTGTGCAGACTTACCTCAAATACAGGTAGGTGCATCTTTCCCTTATTGTCTTGTAAAGAGAAGGTAAATCTGTCTTGTGCTCCTGTAAGCATGATAACCTAAATTCTCAGTACAGATAGACCCATGACAGCAAGATACTCTTTTTCCTTTACTATTTCTTTGTTAATGACAGAGGTAAGAACAGACAGTCATAAAAATTCAGGTATTATTGTGGTTCAGGTCACTTTGTAAAATAGGCATCCTGTTTTTATGCTTTTTTTTTTTTTTTTTTTTTTTTTTTTTTGCTACATATTCAATGACTGAAGAAGTTCTTTTCAAAGATGCAAATAGATGTGCTAGAGTCGTTAATAATTCCTGCCAATGTCTAACATTGTTTGCAAATATTGTCCCCCTAGAGTTTCACACCAAACCAGTTTTGTAAAACTCTAAGCCTCTAAATTTTATCTCTTAACTTTTTATCACACATAATCTCTCTGTCAGAGGGAAAGCCCATAGCCCACCCAAGGATGTCACACTGACTTTGCAGCTGCACTCTATAAACACAGCAGCTACTGCTCCCTCTTAGGTGTGGAAACACTCCAGTCTTCTCATGGAAATCCAGCATAGAAAATCTGTTTCTTCTGTTGAAAAGGGGGCTTGCCTTTATTTTCTGGCTTTGATAATATGATTAATTTCTCCTCACATAGTTGTCCAGTTAAAATTTTAATTACTACAAATCTCTGTCTTGCTTCTCTGGTTTTAGAGTTTAACAAAGCAAGTCCCCGCTAGGGTGGGAAACACTGGGTGACCTGTGGAAGACCTGATAAAATCATGTCTACATGTGGTGACACAAAGAGACATAAAAGAAAAACAAAGGGTTGTTGGTTCCTTCTGCTAATACTCCATGGCAAGTGTAAACCTGAGGACTGTTTGAGAAGGCCAGATCTCTTTGCCTGAATTTTTAACCAAGTGTTCTGCACCTATATCTCCTTTCTGTCATGCTGTGTGACAGTGTATATGAAAACTACAGCAATGTGCCACCGAATATGATGTTCTTCCTCTTGGAGGAAATCTGTGAGGCACTACTAAGTAAGGCTCAGAGAAAAAAACTGTTATAGATTAAAACCTGGGGTATTTTAGCTTGTTGGAAAATCAGATATGCGATGTTCATGAGAGTAAAAATTTGCTCATGAATAGTATTTGATTTTTTTTCTATTTAAGCACAGTCAATATACATTTATTTAAATATTTTTTTAAAAAAAATGGAAGAAGAGAAAAAGGGAAATTATTTCCAGTGTCCCCATTCCAACTTTTCTCTCACTGAGAAAAGCTGAGATACCTTCAAGGGAAAATGGATTTAAAACAACTCTTTTGTGAAAGTGGTAATTGATAAACTGGTGTGATTTCAAAGCAATTCTCAGGAGCTCTCTGAACACTGTATGAAAATGAAATTAAATGTTAAGGATATTTCCTATAAAGGAATCACCTCAATTTTATCATCAGAGTTATACAGCCTAAATTAATTTGTTTGGCAAAGTGTTAGCTAATGTACAGTAATTTGTAATGTTGATATTTTTGTCTTCACAAACCTACAATCCATGTAATTTAAATTGCCACTGAAGCATAAATCAAAGGCTTTCAGCATCCTCTTCTGAGGATGTATAAGAGGTGTATATGTATATGATGTGTATATGTTAAATGTCCATTCTCACACAGTAGATTAAAATTCATAATAAACAAGAATTGCAATATGCTTTGGGAAATATACTCTCTAAGGAGAGTGCACGGCAGCTTGAAAAATTATATTCCTTATCAATATGTTTAAAGGCTGTCACTGTGAGCAAAAAGCCCAGATACATGTTTAAAGGGAATCCTGCCTCTGCTCTTCCCTGTAAAGACCAGCCAATTCACAGCATGGCCAGAAGAGCCGGCGTCCCTGGTGTGGCTGATGATCACAGAGTGTCCCTGGCAGGAAACCTGCAGCAGGGAAACTTGCCCCTCTTCAGGAGGGTGAATACTCTGATTACTGATACTGAGAGAAAAAAACAGGGTAAACCAAACAGCATTTGGCTGGTTGCTGAGAGATGCTCCTTGCAAGGAGATTCTCAATCTTTATTGATGCTTTCATAAAGCTGATGTCTTTATCAGCTTTTTTTAAGGCTTCAGGAGTCCCAGAAGTTGTTGAGAAAATTGCCTTGCTTCCACTTTCAGGAGCTGGTAACACAGGATTCCTTGGCTAAAAACATTTTAATTTATTTCTTTTTCATCTCCTAGGCACTGAAACAAATACCCATTTAAGATCCTAGAGGACCACAACCCTTAACATCTATCATTTCTGTGACAGGAATTTTGGAGAGAAGGCTCAGATAGCACGAAACAAGAGCAACAAGAGCAACAAGAAATTGCTCACATCTGTTCTGCAAGCATCCTGTAAAGCACTAGAAGTTGTTGGTAGCAAGTGCCTTGCTGACTGCTGGCTGCAGGACTCTGAGCTCTGCCTCTGTGCAACCTGGCTGTTCTCAGAGTAGTTGCTTGGGTTTTTCATCTGGGTTTTTTAATTTTCTTGGGATGGTTCTCTAAGACAATTTCTTTTAGCTACTCTAATCTCTAAAATAGTCTGAAAAACAGTAGCCAAAGGCAGTGTAAAGAAGACAGCACAAGCACAGTGTTTCTGCTGCTGTCTAGCACAATGAGACAGGAGAGCTCTCTTGCTGCTGGAACCTTCACATCATTTGAAGATGCGTCCTTGGAGCACCTTAATCTCAAGAGATATAACATGGCAGTTCCATTTTACCCCCAAGCTACTGTGAACCAGTACCACACCTGACCCAGCCTTGTCATGGACCTTTGTATCACGGACATGAATATTTTAAAATTGCCTCTCCTCAACAAATTGAGCACAACCTGTCCCAGCTTTAGTCAGATCACAGTAATAGCATGTGTTGGCTGAATGGAATATTATTCTAGGTTTTAAATGAAATATACACACTGTGAAAGATAGCCCATAGTAACAATGGCTTTGGATAGGGGATGGTGCTTCCCTTTGAAATATTCCAGGCTTTGTCCAGCTTTTTCAAATTGCATTGTAAAAGCAAGTAAACATTCACATTTAAAAATACTTTCACTGTTTTATTGCTTAATTCATTCTCATTGTAGTCTTTTTTATTAGATATTAATTGCATACCTCATATAGAAATCTGTGCTCTTCAGGAGAGGAAGAAATTTCCAATTATGCATTCCTCATAACAAAAAATATTAGAGTGATAATGTTTCCTACATTTAAATTGTGAAATAATTTGCATTCTGAGATTAAAAAATCCTCATAACAATGCCAAAGGCAGAAAGTTTCCAAAGAAAAATGTTCCCTCTAACAACCTGGCTGTAAAACTGAGGGATGATAACACGTGACAGTTTTCTCTGGCTGGGGTGTATGGAGTCTTGGTTAACTATAAGCAAAAATGACAAATCTGAACACATGTACTCTCATTCCAGTTCTCACCATGTTGCAAAGGGTTGAGTGTTTTTAGTGGGACTATTTCTCTTTCTTATCTAGTTAAACTACTCCAGGATGCAGTCTGGACAGTGTAACACTTCAGGGACTGCGTTTGCCTTCTGCAGCGGGCAGTGGTGGTGCCCACAAGCTCAATCCCAATCACATCCCACACTGTCTTCTGCTCTCTAGGGATCTGTTTTGGCTGCTTTATCCTTCCATTGAGTGCATTGTATTGTTTCTCACATAGATGCAACATATTTTATTTTATAATAATTAAAAAATATATGTATAAAACACAGATATGACATTTGGAGTTCTATTGGCTTTCCCAGTGTTAATAGTAGCAGATGCTGGAAATAAATTTGGTATTAATTTACTTTCATGTCAAACACTCAATATAATTAAGCGAAGTGTCATCTAAACTCTGATGACTTACTTTCTAATTAAAATAATGTGTTAAACAGACTCCTAATTATCATGCTAATACCTGTGAAATGCTGTTTTCAGTTTCCAAGCTCCACAGTCTTTTTAATATCAGACTTCAAAGTCTCCTGACAGGAATTATGGGTAGGAAGGTCAGGAATTGGTGCTAGATTTGTTTAATGCTATCCTTCATATGAGAGCACTCATTTGGGTTGTTAATTCCCTTTGCTAAATTTCACACACACAACAAAGCATGATTATCAGTGTTATACTGGGGTACCATTTGCTCCAGCTGCACATGAAAAAAAAAAAGTGTTATTCTCCCTACTACCAATAGAAATTACCTAAGTGCACCACAGGAATGATTTAAAACCTTAACCACAGTATATATCTGTGCTTATATACAGGAAAAAAACTCTATTTGTGTTACTGTTAATTAAAGCCAAATTAGAAGAACAGAAAAAGAAATCTGACTGAGGAAAACATCATCATGCATGCCACTTGCTTTGTAATTGTGCACATACCTAATTACCCTTCCAGAGAGAGGAAACACAAAGAACTCTCAAGCCATTTTGCTTATCATCTGCTTAGTACAACATTCTTTTTCTATGAGCTATTGCATCCAAACTTGTTTTCAGTGTTTCAAGCTACTCAAAAATATTTATTTTTTTTTCTCCTGAGGAAAACCCTGTTCAATATTTTACAGGCTGATCAAGAAAATGTCTCCAGATACTTACCCTGCCTTTTTTATTCCTCTGAGTAATCTAATCCCTCCTATGTCTGCTGCTGGACTTCAAAATAGGATTATTATATGTGGTTTACAGCCTGAAAACTAGATATAGGATTAGCCATTTTAGCTTACTCCTACCTGATAAACTGTGAAATTGTTATAGGAGAAGAAACCTTTTTCCAAGCTATAATTTTCTACATAGAAATGTCTCTTTAGAAATATTGTTGTCTTAAATAACAGGATAAAATCACAACTGCTGTAAGTGGGAGGGAGGATGATCCATGTAAAAATTCTTTCTCATAAAAGTTTCTTGAAAAGGTTTGAAAATCAGCCTCAGCTGGACGACAAGGAAGAAAATCAAGGAGCAGGGCAAAGATCAGCAAGGCTATCATCATACTTCATTAGCAGAGAGTATGTGTGCCTACATAGCACAGGAAAAAGCAGCTTACAGGCAGAAGCTCTCTTCAACAAGGGGAAGAAATAATAAGATTCCAAGTTTTAAGAAAACTAGTCATACAGGGCTTTGGCCAGCCTGCCAGTGGTAGGCTGAGGACAGTCTGAGTAGGTGATACAAAAGCAGCTCTGGAAAAGTTTTCCAGAATGTCTCTTACAGTGCTGGGTGATTTGCTTTTATATAAGTGGTCCCTGGGACTCCTGGCAGCCTTACATTCAAAGACAGCAAAAGGACTTAGCTTCTGGTTTGGAGATTAAATCATTTAAGTTTTGTCATTTGCAAAGTTATAACCTCAGTGAAGTGTGGAAAAAGCCCTGCTGGAGGCTACCTAGTGTCCACCATAAACCCTGTGTATTGTTGTGTAGCTCGTACAGGGGCGTGTCAGCAAAGGCAAAGGGCTTAGAGCACATCACATCCAGTCATCTTCACTACCTCCTTCCAGGCCCTTACAAATGATGCTCAGCAAAACAAACCAAGTTTATTTTAAACCATACTGTACTCAGTCAAAAATAAAACAAAACCCTCAGTTCTTCAGAGACACCAAAATGATTAATGTAAGGACAATGCTTTTTATTAGAGATATGAAAATTAAATGTAAAAATATTTGCTGGACTCAGGAATGGGACCAAAATACCTCTCTGACAAAGCAATATGTTTCCAGGTGGTGAAAACCAGTATCACACCTCTGACTTGCCTTTGTGTGGGAGGGCATTTGCACAGATGGATCAAAATGATCACAGTACTCAGAAGTGGAGGAGAACACTGGGGTCAAAGGTATTACCTAGATTATAGAGAGTGAAAACAGTGACTACTTGAAATCAAATGACATTGAAAAGATGGATATGCTTTTGAGACCTAGATGTGCAAATTTGTGATAAGTGTGAGAAGCTACATATGCACTGTGATACAGTGGCCCTGCCAGCCTGAGTGGTTCTCAAATTCCTGAACAAACTGGATGAAAATAAAATATATATTCTTTACCTTCACTGTTTGTCAACGAGATGGAAATGGAAACAAATGCATGACATCGCACTTTAATTGAAAACATAACTGTACTTGCCTTGAAGGAACTCTGTTGCCAGGGGAAGCAACAGAGAAATATCACAACATCTCATGATAAAAGATGACAGTTCCATTATGCGGCTGCTGGAAAACAGGACAGAAAAAAAAAATAACATCCTTGACAGATAAGAAGCCTCCTTGTTTGTGAATATTGTGTTTTGTCTGGTTATTATATTCACTCTATGGGTTGAGGAGATTGATTAAAAAGTTCAGACAAAACTTGCAGCAATTTAGGAAATAACAAAATGTGCCAACCCACTCTGCACTTTGGCTGTGGGTAACAGCTTGCTAGTGCAAAGTGAAGCTGGCAGGACAGAAGTGTTGGCTCAGAAACTCTGTGCTTCTTAAGCAGACTTCTTAAGCTGAATTCTGGCTACTGGACTTCATATCACCTTCAGTCTTGAGGGTTCATATGTATACCTGGCTCCACAGGAGGGCTGGATTGATGCAGTGGGGGAAGGTGGAAGGGAGAAAGGAGCTACCTTCCTCTTTCTACAGAAAGGGCATAGGGACAACTGGAGCCCCAGAACTTAGAACTACAAATTACCAAACTCAGATTTGCAGGATCATCAACAATTTTCATGCATTGAAGCATGGTCTTAATCAAACTTTGCTCAGAGATAAAAAAATTTCATTGTCTGGAATAAATTATTGTCTGTAAAAAAGGAAGAATGTGAAACCTCTTTATAGTAGCATAATAATGTAAATCTCTAAATAGGATAGGAGCAGGGGAAATAATACACCATGAGAAAAAGTGGGGACTATGGAAGAAGAAGGTTCAAAGAAAAGGTCATGGTCAAGGTTTTACACAGAGTCTTTCTTTTTAAAATTCTGTATGGAATTTAGAGATATTTATAAGCATATACAGTTTTGTTGAAAGGGTTTAAGGACTAAAGGGGTTTGGGGAAAAACAATTGGGCATGATAATTCGAAGAATGTGTGGTCAGAGGAGACATGTCACACCGGGAGTAGACAGGGAAAGACATGAGGATTTCAGTGGGATGTGATGAGTGAGAACAACTCACATCCATACCAGCTGGGATTCAGCATCTTTTCAAGATGGGTCACCTCTGTTTTACAGTGTTTAACTCAGATTTGGAGCCCAAAGATATGAAAACTCTAGATTTCTTTAATCTTCCTGTCCTATGACTCATAAGACACTTTATCAGGTACCCTCTTGTCAAATGAGACATAAATCAAGAACCATCACAAAATGTAAACCCTACATCAGATTATCTCAGGCTCCAATGCTCAAGATTTTTGAGCTTTAATATGATTCTCTTTTTATGGCTACTAAACATATAGATAGTAAATTATTGCAGCATTATTCAATTCTCTTGGTTAATATATTTCATAACTGTGTATAATATTTAGTTTACCACTAATCTTATTTAAAATTCAGTCTTACTTAGAAAGAAGCACATGACTTAGCAAAATAAAAGCTAACCTATTTAAGTCTCTCAGACACAAAACATAATCTCTTAAGGTTTTGAAAGGACAAAATATATATAGGCTAAAAGCAGAAGGATGTCCATGTACTGAAAATTAAAATATTCATGTGATAATGCGCTTGTAAGAATCAAGGACTTAAATTAACTGGAAAGAAAGGAACTACTCTATGAGAAAATATTTGAACAAACCAATAGGCTGTTCATACAAATAGAACCCTTAAAAATGTAGGCTGAGGTTTTCACTTGGAAGTGAACAGTGATGAGAAATAATGGTAAAACCCCCATTAGTCATTCTTTGTTTATCAGATCTTCTTCAAATATACTGTCAAATTGCATCTGATGATCTCTTTTGAAAAAAAGTATTGTTCTGGACAAATAGGTATAACAAAATGTGGAATAATAGTGATGCAGAAAATAAAAGAAAAAAAAGAAGCCCACTAGGTATTTTACAAAGATGTGTGAAAATGACTTAATTTTAATATATGGAAATATCTGGATGCAATTA